CAGCCCTGGGGGAAATGCAGGTCAAGCACCTGAGCCCGGCACTCGGGCTCCTCTCCTAACGCCTCGGCTGCCCTCTCCATCTGACGTGACCCTGAACATGTCCCAGGCACAGCACCTGCACCTTCTCCCTGCTCTGTGCCAGCACCCATGGGACCCTGCACCCATCCCCAGCACCCTGGGGGACCCCAAGTCCCCCATAGCCCATCCCCAGCTTCACGGGACCCCGCACCCTCAGCAGACCGGGCACCCTGCGTCCCTCGCCCCGTGTTTTGCCCCAGCCCCTCAGGTTTCAGACACGCCAGGTCTCACCTTCCAGGTCATATGTGCGGCGGTTCAGGTTCGTGGCAGCTGAAGAGCGGGACCGGGAGAAGGAGGAGGGCATCTCCCACAGCGTGTCGGCCTCTGCTCCTGTCGGGCTTCCCTCCTGCGATGAGCAGCCCAGGCTTCGGCGACGGGGCAAGGAGGCAGCGCTCCCCCAGCCCACGTCCCCATCGCCCTCCCGCAGCCGGGCTCCCGCCTCGGCACCCGCTGCCCACCCCCGCGGCACGTGCCAGGGCCGCAGCGGGGCAGACCTTCCCCGTGGACCACGGCAGCAGCCGCGGGGGCATCTCCGACCAGGGCGGTGGGATATTGAGCTCACCTCGCTCCGGAGCGGGGAGGGGGCAGCCGCAGCCTCGGCACTCTCTGTCACTCGTGTGTCTGCAAGGTAAGTGATGCTCAGCGCTCCGTGCCAGCGCCCTGGTCCTGGCCTGGCCGGTGACAGGATGCAGCCCATCCCAGGGAGCAGGAGCCATGGCCAGCAGAAAGCAGCCTGGCCCTGTGAGCACTCTGGGGGGGGACATGGCCTGCGGGGGGGACACGGCTTGGAGGGGAGGACGCTTTACCTGCCAGCGTTTCCAGGATGAGTTTCTGAGCAGCCACCGTGCTGACCAGCTTCTCCAGGTCCAGGGCAGCTGGCTCACCTTGCTGCAACGGGAAGAGCCAGTCAGTGTCACGCTCGCTGTGGCACGGCAAAGGCAGCCAGACCCCGCCGGGACCCAGGCTGCACAGCGCAGAGTGCACCCACCGGTCCCTCCCGGCCCACGGCATGGTGCCACAGCCCATCTCAAACACCGGTGTCTCCCCACATCCTCGCAGGCTGCCCCCGGCACGGACCGCTGCTCCCCACCCCCTGGGCCCTGCCAGCAGCCCCTGGCCCACGCCCCAAACCGGGACCCCCTCCCCACCACGGCATCCAGGAGGCTGGGGCCGTGCCCGCCGAGGCGCGAGCGCTCACCCGCCGCAGCAGCGCCAGCTCCAGGCTCACGCCGTACTTCCCCAGCACGGGCTGCAGCGCTTCCCGGATGCGCTTGGTTGACTTTGCCGTGATGCGGATGGTCTTATTGAGGGAGGAGATTTCCAGCCTGCGGAGGGGGAGAAGAGACTGTCTGCAGGCGCACACGGACGGGGCAGAGCTGGGGCGTTCGGGACTGCCTGGGGGTTGGCTGTGGGGCACCGTGGGTGGCCAGGCGTGATGTGGACCGGACACATGTGGGTAACAACATGAGCCCCGAAGCTCCCACTCACTCAAAGCTTATCCTGTTCTCCAGCTTCACCTCCTGGTCTGCCAACACAGAGCACTCCTGGTCCAGCACCAGCGCTTTCTGCAAGAGCCAAGCGATCAGGAGAGAGCAAGCGGAGCGGCACATTGTCCCAGGCCGGGGACGGTCGGGCTGGTGGGAGCCCCCTCTCCCCCCTACCTGCTCATTCCCCACCAGGTAAACCTTGATGTCGGGAAGGCTGAAGCCGCGCTTCTCGCATATCCCCGCCAGCATTTCGCGGATGGAGAGGCCGGGCCGGACGGAGGCCAGCGAGGCCGTGCCATCGGGCAGGTACACGCAGCAGTACTTCATGGGCTTGCCCGGCAGCTCTGCCTCGCTGCCCCCCAGGC